TTTTCTCATTCTGATGCTTGGTTAGAACTTCAGCAGATCATCTTGGCCATGTCTACATACCTAAATTGCTGCCATATTGGCTCATTAGATATTTGTGTTGACAAGCAGTGGAACAGGTGTACCTAATAAAGTAGCCAGTGAGTGTATTTTTTATTTATTGATTTTTGCATAGAATTATTTATTCTGGGCAAGACTTAAAAAACATTATTTAAAAAAATATGTTTTATGCGGTCAAAATATGAAATATTGCATATTTAATTTTAAATTTAATTTTTGTATTCTACTTTTGAGCCAGCATGTAGAGTTTTAGGCTCCTTTGATCTTTTTCAGACTTTCGCTTATATAGGTAGGCACACTGTTTACAGAACCCCATATTTCAAGCTGACAGTTGCATACACAATTGTAAGGTTTATGAGCAGTGTTTTATTCCTTATTAGACAGTTCAATATGTAGGTTAAATCTACAAAGGGAGACAAAAGGCAGACAGTTACCTCTGTTCTGGCTCTTTAGCTAACCCATAAGGCTCTGGGAATATTTTGCCATGGGTTAAATGTAGTGATGTAAAGTAAAATAGTCTGCGCTTCTGGAACTAGCTAAAATGAAATAAAATTGAACCCTAAAGAAGCTAAGAATAAAAGGAAGAAAACTCCTTAGATTAAACGAAAAGGATTAAATCAAAGCGCTAAAGGTGTAAACCATGAAGGTAATGCTGAATACAATCAAGTATTTAAGTGAAAAATCGAGTGATCCAGTAGAAATAATAAGTAAACCGGGGATGGTAATTTTAACCCCAGCCTGAAATGAGGTTAAATATCACTAAAAATCTTCAATACAATTCTTAGATAAAATTATATCAAAGAAACGAATTAGTGTCAAAAAGAACTGTGAGAAACGAAAAAAACAGAACTAGTGACAGTAACAAATGTGAAACAAAGTGGTAATAAAGTGTTACATTAAGTCAACAGTCAAAAATATGTAACGAAGATCGTGGTAGCCTTTCAGAGTCAATCAGCAATAGATAACAATTCATAAGCTGTTCTCCAAACAGCACTCTTTCAATGAAGATGTCAAATCGGCGAAAAAACAATATTCAGTGGATGATAATTTAAAAGCCGGGGGAGACAAACACAAATAATCGTTGGTCTATTTCGGTTGCAGTCCGACGGCCCCCCTTATGGATGGGTACTCACCCCAATGTAGTCGGTAAACGGCTTTTTTGGTGAGCGGCACTTTGGTGTATAATCCTGCTCCAATTTAAAGTCGATTGTTCCCGCTTTGAGACCTGGCAGGAAGAGAGTTTTCTAAAAAAACATCCGGCATATACAGCTCTGGAACCGTTTAAAAAACTCCTCGTGTGCAAAATTAATCTACCTTCATGACGCGTTTCATCATGTGACTTTCTCAAAAAAAGGTAGATGTCAATCATCTACCTTTTTGTTAGATGTCAATCATCTACTTTTTTTTAGATGTCAATCATCTACCTTTTTGTTAGATGTCAATCATCTACTTTTTTTTAGATGTCAATCATCTACCTTTTTGTTAGATGTCAATCATCTACTTTTTCTTAGATGTCAATCATCTACCTTTTTTTGAGAAAGTCACATGATGAAACGCGTCATGAAGGTAGATTAATTTTGCACACGAGGAGTTTTTTAAACGGTTCCAGAGCTGTATATGCCGGCCGTTTTTTTAGATTGTATATGTGAGTTACTATTTTTTTAATAAATCTGAATGCTTTTATCTTACTGCACCATGAGAGCTCTCTCTTTTTTTCTAAATTCCTAAAAAACCTTGGGGCTCCTGAGAGAAGGTCCGCCGACAGCGCACTTAAGAGAATTAATCACTGTGTTTGTGGAACACCTCCAGCGCTGCAAGGAAGAAAACTCTCTTCCTGTTTTGACATTAATTTGTTTCTTTGATATAATTTTATCTAAGAATTTTATTGAGGATTTTTATTTATATTTATAATTAATTTAACCTCATTTCAGGCTGGGGTTAAAACTACCATCCCCGGTTTACTTATTATTTCCACTGGATCACTCGATTTTTCACTTAAATACTTGATTGTATTCAGCATTACCTTCATGGTTTACACCTTTAGCTCTTTGATTTAAATGTAGTGATGCACCGATACCAGTTTTTCGGTATCGAGTATGAGTACCGATATTTATCTTTCGGTACTTGCCAATACTGGTACTTCCGCTAGCATTGAGCTGGCTTCCCAGTCAATTAGGAAGCAGAGCGGCGTGTCATTACCTGAAGCCCGGCTTACTAATTGGCCAGGAAGCCAGCTCCATGTTCCCTCACGGCACTGCCGGTGAGAGGAAATCTCCCTCTGACCGGAAATTCCAGTAACCAGTAACAGGAATATCTGAGAAAATATCAGAGCATTTGGGCAACTACGAGTACTCAATTACTCTGTATCAGCACTGATACTAGTACCAGTATCGGTGCATCTCAAGTTAAATGTTTATTTGTAAAATAAAGATTGTTTAGATAGTTTATAAGCAACTTAAGTTAAATTAACATACAATTATTTTAGCTTCCCTTTAAAGTAAGAAGTAATTTTACTTAGAAACTAAGAGCTCCATCTAGGGACTTATCTACAAATCAAGAGATGAAAGAAGAGATATGTAAAAATGTGATATCAAACACAGGTTTAAAACAAACACTGTAGTAATAACTGAAAATATGCACTGAATAAAATGTGCAATGATTTCCCCTTTAATAGTAATACATTCTGCAGTGTCTCAGGATATTTTATAATACCAAGATCTTACATTAAAAATGATGGATTGCATTGGTTATTACAAGTTTTGAGTGTAAATATAATGTAATTGGTCAACACAACTTACCACCATCCAGTGCGTCCCTGCACCTGATTAGGAGGAGTTGGCTACCTCCAGGTACACCTGCATGCAATTTATCGACTGCATTAATATGCTCACACTTGGAGACTCGTATACATAGAGTTAGGGCCACACTTTGCAGAGGTGCCTTGGCGCGGCGGTGTGGCTTCTACATATTTTTGGCCAAAAATTTGTGCAACTAAAACCTCTGATTTTAACGCATACTGTTGACAGGGCAATTTGTTTGGTTGCAGGCTAGCTGGCAGGTGAAGCTGGTGATTTTTTTGTGCTTTGTATTACCACCATCCCTGCCATACAAACATAAACATATAAACTTTTGTTTTTAGGTTGCTGTGATTAATTGAATCACTCTTGTGTTCAAAAGATTCTTTTGAAAAGAGTTAAAAGAATCCAAAGCACAAGGAGCTTTTTATCTTTTTTTTATTGCGCCTATAAATCAAAATTGTGATCAAACACTGCATGAAAGTAGTTGCGATTATTAAGAAATATGTATGTGTATGTGCAGTGTTAGTCTCATTTGATGCATTCTTTGAAATCTAAGCTTTATTAAAATATGTGCACCTCTTTAGAGCACCAATTGATTAGGTTCACGTACTCCTAAAGTGATTCTGTCACTGAAGTTTTCATTTGAAATGGCCAATGCAAAAGATGGTCAAGAATACGTACCTCTCATTACCTTATTTAGTGCCCAAAGAATATTAATCATCGAACACTTCTGGGTATCAGATGCTTGGTCCACCACCATGCACTGTGATTCCACTTGCCTACCGCTACATCTCTACAGGACAAAATAGAGATGGAGGAGCTGGCGGGTGAACATACAGTACGCCAAAGGTGGCCGGACATCTGACATACCCGTAAGTGTCCCTTAGCTCTTTAAGAGAGTGAAGATCTAAGTCACCTCCTGCCCAAAAGGTAAGTATTATTGATCTTCTTTTGTAGGACTTGGTTTATTAATACACACCTTCACATAAACATGTTGTATGTAAAGAAGGGGAGGGGAATTGCAATGATGCGTTGTAAATTATAAATTAGTTTATACTTTTTTCCATTTTTAACAAAATAATGTTAAAGGTAAACTCCACTTTTTTTTTAAAAGAAATAATACATGCGCACAACTTCATAAAAGAACAAAAATGTGCATTTATTATTTTTTTGCATTCAAGTCAGTAAAGCATTGCAACCACAATCAGTGGATCGCAGTTGCAATGCTCTGACTACTGCAAATTCCCATCCCTGTACATTCTCAGGTAAAGACATTCAGTAACATGGATGGGAGGATGTCACTGCTCTTGTATTCCAATGACAACTACAAGTCCCTCTGCCACTGTGCCTAATGACACGAACTGACAGCGGGTCCCAGCAGCTAAATCAACGGGTGCGCAAACTAGAGTGTACACAAATCAGTTAAAGCATCAGAATTCAAAGTTTGTTTTGCCTGCCTATTCACACCAGCCTGGTCCACTGCAGTGCATAGTATTGCATAGACATTAAAGTGTGTTACATTGCCTGGTAACCTGTGCTGCAATGCAGGTGCATTGGGAAGGTGCGTTGGGGTGCCTTTCAGAATTACTGTGCATTGCACAGGCACAGTGCCACAGCACATTGGTGTGGATGAGCCCTAAGAAATGGCTGTCCAACTTCCAAAATACTTCTCTCCTGGGTCCACTGGACTCTCACTATTGCTTTTACGTTTGATTCTCATTTAATGACAGTTCTTTTGTGAAGCAGAGGAGCTACAGCAATAGCACTGGCTATCCATATTGCACTGGCTCTCATTAGTACAGTGAAACCTAATTAGTTGATATAGACTACTGGACTTTGCAGCTTGCTCCTTACATTGTTTATAGAATAAGCCAATATACATTATTGGGAGAGGACGAGGGGACAGTAGTGGCAACCTATATACAGCTGCACAAGGTGTTTGGGCAATTCCTTTTTTTATCTGTACATAAATACCTAATTCCCAGTGAGCTACAGACCACTATGTTTTGATTTATACTTCTTATTTCACTTATTAATATATTTGATTGTTTTCTTTGTTTTATCATTTCCACACTAATCATATTTTCTTTTGTACTTAAATTGTTATATTTTGTATGATTTATGTAATATTGTTTTACTTCTTAGCTATTTGTGAAGGCAACTTTACGTGCAAGGAAAATGAGGTCTGTGTCAGGCCCAATGAGTGCCGTTGTCGTCATGGATACTTTGGTGCCAATTGTGAAACAAGTAGGTATTGTTTTTAATTATATTGAAACTTAAACGTTTCATCTACTGTTTATATTTGTTTTACAATATGTGTTCTATTGTTCATTGTATATCCTTTTCACATATTTATTTGCAGGAATGTACAGGCCCCCTTTAATCCCAAATATCTTATTATATCAGCATTTATAGCAGAACGCATGGTTGTGATGTTACTATAGCTAAAGAAAATAGAGTAAAATTACATCTTTTCTTATTTTCATAATTATATAAAATTGTATATATGTGAACAAAACGTGAGGTTCCATTCACAAAGCTTTAACACAAAAATAAGATTTTTTTATTTTAGCCATGTGACTGTCATTTTCAAATGTCATTTTAAAAAAAAGTATCCTTATCCTAGTGTGTTAGCTATGTGAATTGAGCCTACGCTCTCTAATATGAAAGGATAACAATTCATTACAAAGCTTAATGGGCCTTAAACTAATGATGTACCATATTATTTTTACTATGTTTCTATATGGCTTGAACAGAGGGAGACATGTTATATGCCACAATGATTTTCTGTGAACTATCATCCCTGGCATATCTCCAAATCAAAGGAATTTTACAAAGACTCACCATTCCCACTTTTCACTTAAATTTAAAATTTGACGGGACAGCTCCTCTATCTCACAGAAAGAAATTTCCTTGCTACTAAATGTTCCTCGGTCAACTGTTAGTGGTATTATAACAAAGCCAAAGCATTTGGGAAGAACAGCAACTTAGCCACAAAGTGGTAGGCCATGTAAAATGACAGAGCGGGGTCAGCACAAGTCACCAACTGTCTGCAGAGTCATTAGCTTCAGAACTCCAAACTTCGCGTGGCCTTCAGATTGGCACAACAGTGTGAAGAGAGCTTCATGGAATGGGTTTCCATGTCCGAGCAGCTGCATCCAAGCCTTACATCACCAAGTCCAATGCAAAGTGTCGGATGCAGTAGTGTAAAGCACACCGCCACTGGACTCTAGAGAAGTAGAGACGTGTTCTCTGGAGTGACAAATCACGCTTCTCTGTCTGGCAATCCGAAGGATGTGTCTGGGTTTGGTGGTTGCCAGGAGAACGGTACTTCTCTGACTGCATTGTGCCAAGTGTAAAGTTTGGTGGAGGGGGGATTATGGTATGGAGTTGTTTTTCAGGGGTTGGGCTTGGCCAGGCCTTCTCGTCCAACATCAGTACCTGACCTCACAAATGGGCTTCCGGAAGAATGGTCAAACATTCCCATAGACACACTCCTAAACCTTGTGGACACCTTCCCAGAAGAGTTGAAGCTGTCATAGCGACAAAGAGTGGGCCAACTCAATATTGAACCCTACGCACTAAGACGGGGATGCCTTTAAAGTTCATGTGGTTGTAAAGGCAGGCGTCCCTATACTTTTGGTAATATAGTGTATATAAAAAACCATGTATCCTGATTGATTTGGGTTTACCTCTCCTTTTATCTCAACTATGGAATAGGGGACAGGTGTAAGTGGAGGTGGCTTTAGGAGCAGTGGCATGTAATAGATTGTAGAACACATGCAGGCCAGACAGTATTAAGGTACACCCTTATATTTATTAATTTGCACTAAATAATGTAACAGTGTAATTTCAAGCACATTTTATCCACTTTTAAACATAAGAGAAACCATATAAACTCTTCAAAAATGTTTCTAAGAAGAATTTCCTACTTTCCGCTCCCCTTCCACTGGCTGCTTCTCCCCCTGCCGCTATTAACAGGAATTAACGGCTGTCAAAATGACAACCGGGAATTGCTATGTATGACATAGCACAATATGTGACCCTGCATAGGACCTTAGAAAGAAACATTAAAAAAGAGTTTGCAACATTATTATTTAAACGTTTGCTTTTTAATTTACCCACTGGTGGTGTGCACTATACTTCCAAGATGGTAATAATGTATGGGTTTACAACTATTTTAAGTTCGCAATTTTCAGAATTTATGGTGGGTTCAACTAACAACCTGTGAACCGAACCCAGACACATTTGCTCATCCTAGTCTTAAGTATTGGTTCTCCTTGTCTCAGCCACCACCTCTCTACATATATAAACTTTGAGATGGTTTCTTAGTCACTCCATTGCTTTTAACAGTATTGTTAGACTCATTATACTCAAGCATATTTGTGCTCTGCAGAGCTCCTGATTCTGTTGGCATGAATAACTATCTTGCAGCTGCCTTCTCTTTTATGTTCAAAAGTCAGCATGACTGAAAAAGAACTTCTAATCCCCTTTTGCATCTGTTTCCCAGACTGACATAACTCTGGAATGTAACTGGAGTATTATATTTTCTCTAGGTTGTGTTATTTGGATTGTCTGTGACTTCCTCCTTTTACCCATTCATAAAGTGCACACATGACAGCCACTCGGGTCTTGCTTACTTTATAAAGATCACCTGAAACTCTAGTTTATGTTCAGGCCATACCCTTCTGGACTCTCTTAACATATGACTCTGTGGTTCTGATTGGCCCCTTACCTATCACCTGCTTTGCCACCATGTTGGCCATTTCATTTGAAGGGCAGCTTCATGGACACAGTACCACTTAAATGCTTAGTACACAAGCTGAGGTCTATGGGCATAGATGAAATGGTGTATACATGGATAGAGAACTGGCTACAGGAAGATGTCCGGACAGTATTTATAAATAGCTAGTTTTCAGATTGGTCTATGGTTGAGAGTGGCGTGCCTCAGGGTTCTTTGCTAGGCCCAATACTGTTTAACCTGTTTATTAACGATATTGGGGAAGGTGTTAATAGCCATGTCTCAGTGTTTGCAGATGATACTAAAATTGGGAGGGTAATAGACACGGACGTAGACACTATAGTATTGCAGTGGGACCTGGATAAAATAGGGGAGTGGGCAACTACATGGCAGATGAGGTTTAATGTTTAACCAAATTTAAACTTGTTCACGCTAGAAGTGAGAAGACTAGGAGGAGACATGATTTTGATGTACAAAATGTTTAGTGGTGATGGCAACATCTGCAATAAACTTTTTACAGTAAACTCAGTAACAAGGACTAGAGGCCACCACCTAAAACTGGTGGAGAAAAGATTTAACCTCAAGGGGCGTAGGGACTTTTTTTCAGTTAGAGCGGTTAAAATCTGGAACTCGCTGCCACAAGCAGTGGTATCAGCAGAGAGTATTGAACTATTCAAAAAGCATTTAGATACCTTCCTCAGAGACCATAACATACAGGGTACAGGTACCCAGTAAAAACTAGACCACACAGGGACTCATACACAGACACACAAAAGTTAAACTTGATGGACCTGTGTCTTTATTCAACCTCAAATAATATGTAACTATGGTCCACTAGGGAGGCCCGGGAGGCTGAGACCCAGCCAACATGTGTGTATAATTTCATCTGCCTGTATATCTATATCGACAGATTGTTTTGAAATCGTTTAAAATTAAGGTCTGTTTATTTTTTTCATCATGTGTTAAGTTTAATTTGCTCAAGTTTATTATTGTGCTACTTTAGTTATATATGTGGTTTAATATTGGACCATCATGAATCACTTGATGACCGGGGTGTTAAACCCCCCTTGCTGTCCAGGCCATTTTCAGTGTTGCGTTTCTTTGAATGACATTTATTCCGTCATGTAACGCTGTACTGAAATTAATTTTATAAAAAATTTTTGGGACAGATAGAGCTTTCTTTTGGTGGCATTTAATCACCACTGTATGTTTTATTTTTTACTATATAACAAAAACAGTACCGAAAATTTTGATTATGTTATAAAATATTTATTTTTACCGAAACTGTTGGTAAAATAAAAAAGATTTGGTCACGTCGGTTACATAGACACAAAACATGTCAAGCTTTAAAACTGCGCATGCACGCAAAATCACAAAAAATTACCATATCCAAAATTGGCCATAGGCGATGCTTTAAAATCATCAGTTTAGTGTTAACAGTGATTGATGGCCCTAGAATTTTGTGCTGACAGTGCTGCTGTGCTGGTCCCGAGCTTCCCCCGGGTACAGCGGAGCTCGGGATCGGCGCGCGG